AGAGGTTAAGTGAGGGTAAGATGGGAAGACCATAGAAAGGTTCCAAGGGTTAAACTAGGAAAAAGAGTGTCAGTGCTTTTCATTCTGTGCAATCGTGAGAATTTGGAAGAAGTTGTGAAAGAGAGTTAGGGCACGGGAACTCAGAAGAACGTAGAGATTTCTGTAGAATGCGAAGAGGAATAGATTGCTGCTAGGAATCTAAGGTAAGGGGAGTTTATCATTGTTATTATGATTGATATAGGGATTAAATAATTCTATTTTTGTGTAAGGTTGTGGTTGATGATGTTAATATGATGATTTGATGATAATTGATGAAATTATGATATTATTTTGCAATGAATTGATGTAGATGATTTATAATAGAATATGTTGTTATTGTATGATGAAACTATGTAAAGTTGTGATGAATTGAGATATGTACTGTGTTGGAATCGCAAGAATTTGGGACTGGTGTGGTGCAGAAAACACATAGGAGAATTCACGTTCATGTTTCCTCGTTGTGCGAGCAGCATGCTTCGCTGGGTGAAGGCGCTTTTCCCAAGCTGCGTTAGGCGAGCAAGGAGGCAGAGGGAATGAGGAGAAAACAGAGACCACTGGAAAAATGTATGGTAGAAGTGGACTCGCTCTACCTTCATTGGTGAAGCAGAGGCGAGGAGTCTCGCCGGGAAAACGAGATGCTTCGCCGTGCGAAGGAAGCAGAGAAAAACAATGCTCTTAGAATTTTTATGGGGGAAGGTCTTCGGCCCCATCCTCTCTGGGAAAGCCTCAGGCGACAAACATCATGCATGATTTTAAAGTGTCATAACTTGAGTTTCTGGACTCCGTTTGACGCGTTGTTCAAAATGTTGGGTAGCTAACACGAAGAACTATAATTAGGTGGAATAAAATAAGTAAAAGGAGGAATATTTCTAGTACCTATGCTAGGATGAATTTAGACATCTATGTGATGGATTACAGTGACGTTTGTTATTTGATGAGTTATCGATACTATGATGATATTATGTTGTTGCTATGATGATTTAATGATGTTGCGATGATGTCGTGAATATATATATATATATATATATATATATATATATATATATATATATATATATATATATATATATATATATATATATATATATATATATATATATATATATATATATATATATATATATATATATATATATATGTGTGTGTGTGTGTGTGTGTGTGTGTGTGTGTGTGTGTGTGTGTGTGTGTGTGTGTGTGTGTGTGTGTGTGTGTGTGTGTGTGTGTGTGTGTGTGTGTGATGACCTTGTTATTATTACATGAATGAATGATGCGTTTTAACTAGCCGTGGTTATGTTTTATTATGTTGTTGTGCATCATGGATTCATGGCATATGTTAGAACTTTGGTCCAGTGATGTTGTTAAGATGATTGGTCCAGTAATGATGATAAGATGTTATTCTAGTGATGGCTTCAATCCCATAGTGTGGATTGAGTGCAATATTATGATGTCCTCTAATTTCAAGTGGGAATTGATCCTATTGGTGGGGATCTTTGGAGAAACAATGATTGAGTCATCAGTGAAGTTTTGGTACCACATGCATTAGTCAAATGATGTTTCATTATATTCTTTGCGGCATTGTATAATATTTGATTGTGTGATGCTTTGTGAATGTGTGAATTTATGTTGTTGTAGTGATGATTGCTGACTGATGATATGATGATGCTATAAATGAATAATGAAGTGAAGGTGTGAGTATAATATGAAGTTTTGATGATGTGTGGTTTATGGCTAATGTGTTATAACTACTATATTTATTCTTTATGTCTTTTATAATGATTATGATTTATCATCCTTTCTGCTTGGAAAGGTTGCCTCTATATGTGGGTAACTTGCAGGGGACCAAGAATAATTTGTTGGAGCTTAGAGGATAGCTTCAGAGTGCATATTTTACTTATGTTGAATAAGAGGATCTTGCTCTGATATGTAACATCGGGGTTGAGAACGTTTGTTTTGAAACTATTATACTTTTGTTTATTTTGAGATGATGAATTATTTTTCTTGGTATTTAAATTGTTCTTGGATTATAAACCTTGGACGACGAAGTATGATGTAGTTTCTCTGGAGTATTTTTAATGAAGATGTTTTGAGACTATGATTTCGTTGCGATGATTTTTGAATGTGATATTTGATGATGTTAAAGGAATAGTTGTTTTAAATGTTTTGAAAACTCGTGTTACGAAGCAGGATGTTTTATATGATGCTTTTATGAAGATGTGATACCCTTAGTGATTTTATTTGAATTATTTGCGTAAAATATATGCGAATTATATGTGGATTTAGAAGGGTGTTACAATGTCAAGTCTTGCTAGAGGGATCAATAGAGGTCCCGCCTGAAAGGATAAAACGAATCGCCTGAGGGACTCAGCGCCTCCCCATTCGGGTTACATTATGAAACCTCTGAGGGACTTAGAATCCTCAAGGTTGATAAAATCTCTTTTCCGAGGGACTGAGTATCTCCTTGAGCGAAATTGTTTCCAAAAATCATGTCTAAGGGGCACGAGCTATATCAAGACCCGATGAATTGGTGTCAAGTCTTGCTAGAAGGCTCGATAGAAGTCCTGCCTGAGAGGAGATACATTCCACCTGAGGGACTTAGCGCCTTATCATCCAAATCGTATAATAGTAAATTCATAAATACTTGGACCCCTAGGGGGTCAACTAGAACCTCATCGGGGAAAACATTATTCCTCGGGACACTCCCAGTAGTCGCAGGTAAAAAACACTTCGCACTCTGCCGAAGGACTCATGTATGAGGGACCTTGTAGTGTATATTTGCAAATGTCCCTTCCTTAGGGCAACAACTTGGGACCTCTCTAGGAAAGGGCAACGACGCAAGGCTGCCTGAAGGGAGGTGTCGCCTCACCCTTATGTTTTCCTTGCTCCTCGGGAGAATAATTGTGGGATAAGATGTGTCTTGGTTAAAGAAAGAGTCATAGTCACTACTGACCCATATTTTCCTTGAAAATAGAGATTCAACTGTCCACCTCTTAACTGGATGGGCAACGACCTTTTCCCGAGAAAACCCTAGGGACCCATAACTCCTTAAAGGGATAAATGACTCTCTCTCAAGTAACACATACTTACACATATTCAAACACCACTTATAGAACACTCTGCTATGAGTAACCATAAATACATGACTCCAACCGTCCGCATGTGACCTAGCAGCGCCGACCACCAACAGGACCTCTCACCTCATGTGAGTTGGTCCTTTAAACAACCTCAAAAACCATTGTACATGGCTATTCGCTTCCTTAACTAACCTTCACCTCCAAACGTGTAATATTCCTACTAGGACCTCTAAATCTTCCTGCCCTTGCAGAGGGAACATACACACGTGTATTTTTTTGGACAATACAACTTTCAATTGTGGTAGACCTTTGCATATAAGCTCATGCATATACTCTATTAAAAAATTTGCACCTAAAACCAAAAAGATTTGTTCAAAAGTAAAGGTAGTAAAACAGGTCTGACCCATCTAACATGTCCGTTTTACCCATACTTTTTTGCGAGATGGGTCAAAGTTTTAGGTACACATCTAATATGACCGCCACATCCCTTTTTTTTGTGCGAAGATTATCGATAAATTTTACAATTTTAAACTTAAACTTTATCTTAAACTAATATGAACCTTGTGTTTTTCCCGACACACATCCTCTCGTTCTACACTAATAAATTTAGCGCGTGAATATAATCGATAAGTGGTCCAAATTGTCAATATATAGATTTAATTTTTCTAATACACTTTCTTCTAACCACTGTATTAAGCTTGATGCACATATATATATAAATGATGAAACAATAGCCTCTTATATTTTTTTTTTCTCGAGAAAAATCTCTTAATACTTTAAGAAAAAAATGGGTGATATTATAACAGTATAAAAAAATTTTATACTATCAATTAATCACGACAATGAATCCAACCAAATCAAACTGTTATTTTAAAAAAAAAAAATTATATAACATAACAAAACAATATAGAAAATTTCTATATGCATCTCCTTTAAAATCATCCTGTAATAGAATAATTGGTTCTAAATCATTTATACAAAACCCACTTTTAAAATGGAAGTGTCAACATGATGTTCATTTGATATATGTTGTATACACCAGACAGTCAAACCCAGGAATAGACGTGTGAGCTGCTAAGAAATTCTCGTACAAAGTTAGGTGACATGGAAACATTATTATTATTGAAAAAGTACAGACTATGACAATCATGAAATTCCATACTGCTACTAGTGTAATTGTATATCTAACCTGCGTGCGACAAATATCTTCTTCTCAACTAATATATTCATCTGCACGTTCTCAAGAAAATCAGAAGCCACTAGTAAAATAAACACGAATTAAATAATTGGTGTCTCGGGTTTAATATTCCATTTCAAATAATTAATAATAAAAAATCATCATCGATTGTGAATTAATTTCAACCACTCAATCTTTTTTTTACTAACACAATCAGAACGTGATGCGCAACTTATAACATGGGAGGGAATCACAACGAAGAGAAAAAGATATTGGAACCCACGTACCCTCGCTGCATGCGCTTAATTCTCCTTACGTGCGACCACGTAGAGGGTACGTGACTATATGTCTATATGCAAATAAAATATAAAGAAATAAGTTCAATTTATAAGGGGTGCATATATTTCTGGTTCAATTTATATGTCTAATACATTAGATTTCTCTAGGTTTTTTCCCATACTCAAAAACTAATTACCTCGGGGTCTAATAATGCTCCAACCATGTTTTAGAATCCATATTCGTCACAGCTTTAAAAAACCCATAAAGAACATCAAACTTAATAGTATATATTTAGGTTTATCTCAGAGTAAAGGAGATTTTAAAAGCAGAAAACTTCTAAGTTTTTAGGTTAATAAAATAAATGGTCTAGTTTTGGTGATGCTACCAGATCAAAGAGCTGCGCAATCTTGGGTCTCATTAATCAATTTTGGATATTACCGGCAATCCGTTGAACCAAAGGAATCTGCAAATAATGGAGGTTTAGAAGTGAGACTTGATTGGGTTTGTGAGATGGACATGTCATTAAACATTGTTGTTGAAGTGCCTTCATTGGCTTGCCACCTTTCCAGTACTTGAGGAAGACTCATCTGATTGTCAACGCCATAACCACTTTCGTCTGTGTGGGTAGAAGGTTTCCATTGCGCCACAAGGGGAACCAACACATTCACTGCATGTCCCATATCTGGCCTTTGGTATGGTTCACGGGCGGTGCAATGGCCAGCCAGCTCGGCCACTTTATATATGCTCAACATTGTTTCCTCATCTGGGTTGAGAGTTTGATCAATTGTCTTTGGAATGTTTTCCTTGGTGATGAGTACCCTACGGAACCATGTAACCAAATGAGACCTTTCATCAGGCACAGAATCATCCAATGCCTTTTTACCTGTGATCAGTTCCATCAAAACTACTCCAAACGCGTAAACGTCCACTTTGGTTGTCACTCTTCCAGTAGCTGCAAGAAACAATATTACATTAATCATAAATAATGGAATAGACTAGCATAAATCAAAAGCAACTGATGAATAGATTGGGATGACAAATTCTGCCACAACAAATTAGTGGCGACGGAGAAATGGATTAAAGCTTATGAAACCAGTGAAAAGTAAAATATCAACTATCAACACCAGCAAGAGTTATACAAAAAACACAATGTGACTCAATAAAAGTTTTGAAACCATCGAAAAAATAAAATTGCAAAGCAGCAGCCACAAAGAGTTGCAGAAACACATATTAGGATCAAATAACAATTATTTTTCCTTCCAGTTTTTGTTTTTATGTGGCTTTACTCAATCAAACAACCAAACATTTCTCAGCATCAGAGCATGATATTAACGCAGTACTTATAGGCTATAGTTATAATTACCAAATAATATACTAGATAAGAACTTTAAAAATTAAGGGACATGCTTAAAACCAAAAACTTTGTATACCTGCGTACTCGGGTGCAAGATATCCAAATGTTCCGGCCAACCTTGTCTCAAGAGAATAATTCCCGTCCGGTGCGTTTTTAACCAACCCGAAATCTGCAACTTTTGCTCTCATGTCATTGCCTAATAGTATATTTGATGGTTTTAAGTCTCTATGAATGAAGCTTTGCTGAGCTAAGCTGTGCAAGTATTCGACCCCCCGTCCAACATCCAAAGCTATTGCCAACCTTTGTTTCCATGTCAAAGGAGTGTAGCCATGTTCTTCACATTCAAACAGATGCTGCGTTAATGTACCTTGAGGCATATGCTCATATACCAATAGCCTCTCATTGCCATTGATGCAGTATCCCAAAAGGGCGACCAAATGTCTATGCCTAACCTTAGTAAGAACAGAAATCTCTGCTTGGAACTCATTCAATCCTTTGCTTCCCATTGCAACAGATATCATCCTCTTGACAGCAATTTTAGTTCCATCAGGTAATTCCCCTTTATAAACAATACCAAACCCTCCCCTGCCCAAAATGTTATCATCACTGAAATCATTCGTCACTTGTCGAAGAACATGAATGGAAATAATAGCATTTCCGCCACTTCCTCCATCAAAACCATGAAGATCACTATGATCAGCACTGCTCTGGCTTTGCAACTCGCTCGGAACACCACCATATCCATTTGAAACACTCGCAAGACCAAGTTTAACATTTTCTTGCCGATTTTCAGGATTACTAACCCTTGAAAATTTCCGAAACCGTCTTCTGGAATAACACTTGCAAGAAACAAACAATACTACAGCAACAAAAAGCACAACAACAATCACTATACCAGCAATCCAACCCGGACTCAATGCAGTACCTTTTCCCGGTCCACCGGGAGAAGAACCAGGCGTTCCACCTTCCGAACCAGGATCTTTACCAAGCAAAACATTACCATCAGTTATTAACTTCACCTTTGGTGAGAACACGGGAACCTTTCCTGAGAGATTATTGTTAGATACATCAAGAGTCTCAAGCTGAGTCAATGTAGTCAAACTCTGAGGTATAGAACCAGTCAAATTATTCCCACTTAGAATCAACCTGTTCAAATCAGTCAAATTGGCAAAAGCAGGCGAAATCGTTCCCTGCAAATCCCTTTTCCCGAAATTCAGTGTGTTAATCTTACCCCCACTACACAAAACAGATTGCCAATCTTTACAAGGATCATTCCCTTTCCACGAATTCGCAAATTGAATAGGATACCCAAACCCCTCAGCAATTTTAAGCAAAACCATAACCCTGTCATCACAAGGCCCAGGTTTATCAAGACAAAAGCTATTAAGGCCAATATCAATTGTCCCACCATTAGAGGAAACAGGAACAGGTCCCTGAAGCAGATTGTTACGAAGAGTAACATTCTTCAAACTAGACATACTCATCAGAGAATCAGGAACTACACCGGTAAACTGATTATCCCTAAGTTGCAGATCAAAGAGATTCTTGCATTGCGAAATATCTGGAATTGGACCGGTGAATTTATTATTTTGAAACCATACCTGAGTTAAATAAGTCATGTTGGAAATCACGGCGATGGAACCGGTAAACCCGGGTAGCTGATTATTGAGCCATAAACTCTGGATTGAGGAAGCAGCGAGAGAGTTAGGTAATCCTCCAGTGAAATTGTTGAAGGAGAGTCGAACACTGGTGAGACTAGAGAAATTACCGAAAATGTCGGGTAAATTTCCGTTGATCATTGAGGAAGAAAGATCGAGTGTGGTGAGACTAGAAGACTGAGTCAACTCGTTGGGGAATTCCCATTGAGAGAGGTCAGAGTTATGGTCGAAGTAGAGTTCTTGAAGCAAAGTGAGGCCGGAAAATGCAGCGGAAGAGACGGAGGTGAATTTATTAGCCCCGAGGTAAGCGGTTTTGAGGGAGGAGAGATTGGCGAGGGAAGGGAATGAACCGGAGAGAGAGTTGTTTCTGAGATCGAGAACTGTGAGTTGAGTGAGGGAGTTGAGATCGGAGGGGAGGGTTCCGGCGAGGTTTAACGAAGAGAGTCGTATTTCAGTGACGCGTTTTGATGAATCGCACGTGATGCCGGTCCATTGACAGGAGGGAGTATCGGAGGACCATTTGGGAGGAGGTGGTTTAAGGTTTCGGAGGAGGTTTTTCATGACGGTGGCGTCGTCATCGGCGACGATGGTGGTGGCGATGATGAGGGGAATGAGGAATGAGAATTTGAGCATTTGGAATTAAACGCGGTTGAGAGTCGCAATGGCTGTTACAATTATAATTAATAATTATACAATGAAAGGGGGGGAAAAAGAAGAAAAAATGAGTGTACGTTTGTACTTATTGGAAAAGAGAGAGAAACGGGTTTGATTATACTTAACTAGTAAGATATGGGCGTATTGAATGAGATCGTTGTTTTTTATTGGACAGATTTTGTTATTTCGTCAAAAAGTGGTTTTTGGATCATCACCTCGCATTCATCTCATTTATAACAAATACCCAACTTATCTGTTTCTGAACAAAATCTATTTACAATTTTTATTTATTTTTAATTAAATTATTATAAAAAATAAAATACTCTCTCTATTTTAAATTATAAGTCGATTTATAATTCTAATAAAATATTAATGATTTTTTTCTTAATATAGTATATATTACTCATTACTTTTCCTTTTTTAATTCTTATCATTTCTCTTTCCTATATAATTAATAAAGGATATTAATGTAAATTTATACATAATTTCTATTTTTCATACAAAATTAATTGTCCTTCTTAACCAGTGTAAAATATCCAAAATATTTTATAGTTTGGGACTGAGAGTATAATACTTGATGATTAATGATGAGAAGGTATCCAATCAAATTATAGTAGATCAAAATATTCTTTTTTTTAAATATTAGATGTTTACTCGCTCGCCACAAGACTTTAAAAATATTAATAAAAAATATTCTCATATATTTTCAAAATGTTTTTTATCTTAAATAACTTAAAATTATAATAATGTCAACATATATATTCAAAATTACTCGTTCATTGCACAGATATGATTAACATATATAATTCAATTCTCAACTACAATCATACATTTATTCACTATATTAATACAAAATTTTGATTAATAAAATAGTTTAGTTAAGCTTTTTATCTAACCTGATCAGACTTGGACCGTCACGGCTGACTCCGAGCTGAAAGTTTTGAACGAGGTGGAGGGATACCTGCAAGACACTCCGATGCTACAGTAAGTAAGAGCACGAGCAGGCAATAGTAAGTATGGGTAGAATGATGAATACCTGACCCTCTGGAAGCAGAGGGTATTTATAGCCCCCAGCGCTGGGCCAAGGTTCCTTCATTGGCCCGGGCAGGTTTGGCCCAGTGGAGGAACTGCCAGGTTCTACGTGCGTAGTGGGGACCCGCACGTGGTCCCCTCCCTGGATGTTCTGCGTGAAGTGCGGGCGGACAGAGACGCGGTCTTTTCGGGGTCTCGTTGGGAGTGCAGTGGAATGAGTCTGCCCTAGTTGGGGTGCTCGCGGTGATGTCGAGCTGGATGGCAAGATGTCGAGCTGGACAGTTGGAGGTCGAGCAAGTAACCTCAGGGAGCACGTCGGGCACGACTGTGTCCCTTTGGTCGGCGTGGTCCTCAGCAAGTCCATTTGGATTGGGCCTTATCAATGCTATTGGGCCTGTCGGGCCCAGTCCAGAACAGGAGCCCCCCAAGTCGTGGTTCCTTGGGTTAGGAGCCATGGCTTGATTTCAGGTCGTTTCCGTTTCGGGGTCTCGCGCCCGGGTCAGAGGTGCAGGTCCTCGAGGGCTTCCCCGTGTCGTGCTCGGAGACAAATCTTTCGTGGTGGATGTTCGGGGAATCCTCACCGGCGCGCGTCTGTCGAGCGCACGGGGTATCTTTCGGGAACTGTGCCGCCACCCTATGATGATAGGGTCATCATTGCCTTGGGAGCCGTGCGTCGAGGAGAGAAACTCCGTGGTTGCCCGAGGTGACGTTTGGTATTCCACGTCATCACTATAAATAAGATCCTTGGGCCCCATAACGCGTTACTACTCTTTGTGCTCCTACTGCTGCTGTTCTTCCAGATTTTCATAGCATAGCTGCGATTCCCGTCACAGATTCCTTTCCTCCGTTGCAGAACTCACTCCTTGATTGCAAGTAAGTGACTTATCTTCTTCGTTTTCCTGTTGTGGTGCATGATTTTCACCGCTGTAGACGTTTTAGGGACTGTGCGTGTGGGACTAGCCCGGTATATTCATGTTTAGCTCGACAAATTCATGTTTAGGACCGGCAAACACATGCTCGTGGCCGGTAGATACATAGTTTAGGTAATAATCTGGAGTGCTGCCCGGGGTCTTCATGATCCAGGGCGCCTGGCTCATGATCGTGCCCGGTATGTTCATGGTTCTGGCTGTAGGTCTTATGATGTTGCTCGCCATGTTCATACCTTGGGTCGGCATACTCGTGAGTGACCGCGTTGTCGGTTTGCTTAGGCGGTTTGGAGAAGGTCTCATCGAGTTATCCGGACGTCGGGGGAGGCGACTGCTATTTTGTTGCAAACTAACTTTTGTGGTCGTGCATGGAGCGACGTGGTTTGTCGTACACTACATCTGGTCTGTTACGTCGAGCGTATGGTTTCGTGCCCAATTGACTGGTTTCCCGTGCTCTGCAGGTAACCATGGAGGACGAGCCGTGCTCCTCTGGACGCCCCGAACGGGAGGAACAAAGTGCCGACGAGGCGGTGAGTTTGATCGACACTGTCGACGACCCTCTGTTGGATTGGGTGGGCGTCGAGCCCAGAGGAATCGCGTCGATCTATAGCCGGCGTAACCGAAAGCCATATGCTGTCCACGAGGCGGGCCACGGTCAGCCTGATTTTCAAAAGAGTTTCGTTGTTACGCGGCCGACCTCCCATGCCCGGATCTGCTCGGTGTACCCAGAGTATAGCTTCCCCATGTACGAAATTGCGTTCAAAGATCTTGGGCTGCAGCTGCCCTTCAGTGACTTTCAAACCGGGGTTTTCGCCCATCTGGGGCTGGCCCCGTCGCAGCTACACCCGAACTCGCTCGCCTTTATCCAGGCGTTTGAGCTGACATGTCGCTTTCTGAGGATTGGGGCGACTATACCTTTCTTCTTCAGAATTTTCCATCTGCAGCGCCAGTCCCGAGGAGGGAAGCACAGTTGGGTCTCCTTAAAACAGTCGAGGAGACTATTCAAGATGTACATGGACTCCGTAAGGGGTTTTAAAGACAAGTGGTATATCGTGAGGCCGGTTACCACATCTGCTTTAGAATCCCTGTACGAGGAGGAGGCGCCCATAAGCGACGATGACGGGGAGGCGATTTTAGACAACGACGGGTATCCCGTGATGGCCCGCACGGCCAAGTTCCCCGTGCATTGGATGTTCAGGCATTATGAGCACGGGACTGGGTACTATCATACCGCTGCGGGCGACATGTGTTCCGAGGATGAGAAGGCATATGACACTCTTTGTCGGTTCGTTGACAGCTTCCACCCCGCCAGGTGGGCCACGAGGGAAGGGGAAGATGTCTTGGACGAGGAGGGTTATCCGACATTCGAGTCCAGACCGATCGATACTAAGGCACTTGTGGAGTGCCAGTCGTTCAGGCAGGCTGCTCGTTTGCTAGGTCGTTTATTGCTTGAATTTTTTTGCCTGTCATTTGTTTGCATATTTGCTCGACCCTAACCCGTCTTTTATTTTGTGCGGGTTCGATGGCCGGACGACGGGAAAGACTCTTGAAGCTGTCTTGCAACCAGAGGCGGGGTAGGAGGGTTGTGAAGGCTCCCCAAGCAATGAGGATGGGCCCGCCGCATAGCCTGGGCGCTCCTCAGGTGGTGAGGGTGGATTCGTCGCCCAGCTCGGGGGCCGCGTCAGACGAAATCCCAGAGGTTCAAGAGGTCGAGCCACATGCCGACCTGATACAGAGGAAGCGGAACCGGGTGGAAAGCGGACCGGCGGTTGGCGAGGACGCCAGCGCCGTAAGGTCCTTCGGGTTGCCCCCTTGCTTCAAAGAGGAGGGTTTCTTCGAGAGATTCCCTCTTTCCGTGGTTGCCGATGAGGCTGAGACTATCAAGAGGATGAGTAAGGAGGATCGGAGGAGGCACATGGCCACCAACATGGCTGGGCTGGTGAAAATGGCCGAGATGGCCATGGTGCTGTCCGAGGAGGGGGAGGATCCTGTCCGTATTAAAGAACTGGAGCAGGAGAAAGCGGCTCTCACCTCGAGCTCGCGGAAGTTAAGGACTGCCCTGGAACGCTCCGAGGAGATGTTCCGCGAGCAGGCATCGCTGCTGGCTGTTGAGAGAGAGATGCTGATCCTGGAGAAAGAAAATTCGGGGAAGCTAGCCGGGGAGGGAGAGCTTCTCCGCGCGGACAGGGATCGTCTGGAGACCGACATCGGGCGCCTGACTCAACAGATCGAGGACCTGAAAGTCGCCATGCTTCATGCCGAGGACGAGCCAGAGGATATAGCTGCTTTGAAGAGTCGATCGGAGCTGGTCGCCCATATCCGGCTACTCGAAGCAGATTGCGTTGGTGCTATGGAGGAGGGGTTCGACTCCGCAGTCGGCCAGCTTTCCTTGCTAAATCCTGGTTTGGTCACTGAGGGGACGGGCTACACTCATCAGATCGTGGATGGCGCGATCGTGCCCCCGCCCGACTCTCCTGTTGTCGACAATGATGGTTCCGGGGAAGCTTGATTGTAGGATAGCGGGCCTGCGTGCCTTTGATATTTGTATTTTTTGGGCTTGCGTGCCTGTTGGTTGTACTTCACGAACATCGCCGGCCTTCTTAGTCGGTTTATACTTATTTGCTTTGTTGCCTTCGGGCGTTTTTTTTTTTTTTGAATGAATGCCGTTTCAAATTTGATTGTTTGCCCGTGCTTGTTTTTTATATTTTTGCATAAAAATTAGCCTAAGTTACGGGCCCGAGGAGTGCCCGTAAGTGGCTGTGACTTAGCTGGCGAGTTTGCCCGCCTTTCGTTTGTATACGTGCCCGGCCTTTTTTCGCTGGCCAGAGTCACCTAAGTGCTGCACTCGAGGGGAGAGACTTCCCTTTGACCCTTTTAGATGGCCCGTCCTTCTTGACGACTTGTCGGGCATATGGAGCGAAGTTGCTCAGTCGGGCGCGAAGCCCGGTAGGGACTATTTTCCCTTGGTGTGAACTGCCCATCGCGAGTTGGGTGTTCTGCCTTACATGTACTACGACGGTG